TCGTGGTCGCAAACGTTCCCATGAGGACCCCGATGATTCGGATCCTCATGAGGGGGAGAACAAGCGACCTCGATCACTTGAGCAGACTGCTCTACCAAGCCAAACTCCACAGCCCATCCAACCCGAAACCTCGACAAACCAACAGCCACCACCCACAGCCAAACTATCTAGCATGGTCGAGCTAGAAATAACATCCCGAGGCGTATCTCCCAGAGATACCAACCGAGGAGGGGATGGAAGTCCTGATGATGTTACCACTGGTACATCTTCTCCATCAGGCCATCAGTTGGAACCCAGTTCTAAGCTGATGTCAACGGGCAATCCTAGTGAACCCGGTAGTGCTACACAGGAAAAATCACCGCCTGAACAAAGAACTCCATATATTTCCCCAGGCAAAGACATCCATGATGCACTGGAAGAGGCGGTGATATACGACAAATGGCCGAGAAAATGGACAGAATGGGATGATCTGCGGGTTGAAGCCGAGCAAGAGGACATGCAAAGAAACTGGTGGCTACGAGAGCTGATCAACAAATGCTCTGAAGATATTATACGGCTCGAGGACGATGAACGCAAGGAAGGGGAGAACTACAAGGAATCCCAGAAAGCTCTTGAATCGGTCGTAAGACAATCAGCGGGAAGACTTCCCAAGACAGAGAAACCCTGGGACAACGTTCGCATCAAAGCCCCCTTCCAAGAAGAAATCAGAGAGCATATCTGGCGTAGACCAGACAAAGTCAAGCCACTGAACGAACTGAAGCTAAGAGGCCTTACACACTTGAAAGGAAAACAGGCTGGAGGTCATCTGCATATGTTGCTGCAAAGGTCAACCGGTACACAGAGAGAACTAATGGAACAAGATCTGAAGTCGAATATTCTCCCGATTCATCAAATTCTACAAGTGAAGGCTGAAGACTATCATGGAGTAACATTCTACACCTTCAGACTTCAACGCACCGATGGGAGCGAATTCACTTGTCAAGAGAACGACTTCATCATGCTGAAACCGGATGACATCTACCAAATGCTCATGGCCTACAGATACCTTCCAGTCAGGCAGAACATAGTATACAGCGAAGGCCTCGCAGCTATCAAGAGATTCATGCTTAGACAGATTAGAGTACACTCTTCACATGACCTACAGATGGCTATTGAATGCAATCTGAAGAAGACAAATCTGACGAAGCCAAAACTGTATGGTCCAGAACTTGAAGATTTCCCAGCCTACCACATCTTTCATCAAACCGCCAGCAGTCACCTATCTGAACCACAAGAACGAAAAGCGTCTGATGGTAGTCAGTGAAATCGAGAAGTACTGCGACGGAACACTGAAGATAATCAGAGAGCAGATTCTACAGATGAAGGCAAAGCTGGAAGAAAATCTTCAAGAGGCATCGTCTTATGTTCAAAAGGAACACTCTAATGTAGAGACAATTTTAAAGGCCATTGACGATCGCCTCGAAAAGAGAAATATGCTAAGACAGTATGAACATGCACTTGGATTGAGAAAGCACTACTTCAAATCACAGAAGCAATAAGAGAATGGCACTTGATCACAAAGGGGGAGATTGTTGGAGATATTTAATTGTGAATCAAGTTGGTCATAGATTAGCTTTATATTTAATCCTTGTATTTAAATAGTGCATAAATTAGATAGAAATCAGGCCAAGTGTTAGGCCCATTTAAACAGGCCAAAAGCCTGGTACGCCTAACCTAAACCTCGCCTATAAAAAGGGAGCCGAGGTTTAGGAAAAGGTTGAATGTCGTACTTATTATTCATAGCCTTACGCTTATATCATTCTGCTGTACGTTCCACGGTTTATCAAAGAAGGTTTTACGGTGATTCATTCTGTGTTCATCTTTACCTTTAATCTTCCTTGTTAGATCGATTATTCATTGCTGTTACAGAAACAGGGACTAACAATTATACATCTCGGGGAAATAGTTTTAAAGGAAAATGCATTTTTAGTATAACCTAAGGGATTCAAAACTACCTTATTTACTTGAAACAGGGTCATCAAGGCTCTATTTTGTAGACCATATACATGTGAGAACTGATTTTGTGGGGTGGTGCGGTGTTCAAATTTGAGCCCCTAATATAAGACATCATTTTGATTAAAATTTATTATTTTAGCATGCAATTTCTACATTAAAGCTTTAATTATAGAGACACAAAATTATCTTTTGCATTTTTAACATTAATTACTTGAAAATAAAAGCATGCCAAATCAGCTCCCTTGAATCGGTCTCTTGTGAGATCTTGCGGTGTCTCTAGCCAAGGTTTAGGGATTATGTTATGCGCAATATAGTTACTAATGACTATGATGAGCTGAGATTTTACCGGTGTTCTAACAGGTTTTCTTTTTAAGGGAAAGTTTATGTTCACTAAGTACTTTTCAAGCTCACTCGATTTGACCTTCAATTCATCATTGAGTTCTGGGTTCCTAGGATAGTAGTGTCTATTGAGATTTTGTACAAGGTATAAAGAAATGACATAGATCCTTATTGGGCAACTCTCCAACCATCAAGAGTCGCTACAGCAATCCTCCCAATTCATTCTGTTGAAAATCCAGCGACATTCCAAACCACATTGTTTCTGTGTTTCCAAATGCTCCGAAGGAGCATAACGAATCTGCAGACATCCTCCTCAGAACAAGCACCAACACAGCCTCAAGCTAACCTACAAAAGTCTCTGCTTCACCTGCAGATGGTAACCCAGCTTATGCTGTGATTGGAAAAATGTTCTATTCATTCAATATCAAGAACATAATTACAATAGGAGGAACAAACTTGCACACTCAACTATTACAAAAAAACAATCATCACTAATACACTCCTACTCTAAGCGTATTTCACTCTTCACACACGTTTTCTCACTTTAGAAACGGGTGCTAATGAACAACAATAGACTCCCCATTTAAAGGTGTATATGGGAGACATGAGGAAGTTGCATCCAAGCTTTCATTCCCATTGCTAGGGAGGTTCCTAGCTATCTTCAAGCAACTTCCATGAAGGGGTGTGGAAGTACCTCAATGTGGATGGCTTTTGGCGTTTACGCACAAACACCCATTTAAAACCTACAGGTTTTACGCCTTTTGGCGTGTGAACAATTGGTCCAAAAACATTACACTTTTCTAGCGATTTTAGTTCTACCTGAATCGCTTCATTCCATTTTGGCCAATCGTTTCTACGACGACATTCGTCAATAGATTTAGGCTCATTGTCATCGTGTTTATTCATTATATCTGTGTCGATGGCATATGAAAATATATCGTTAACATCAATATCTTTTCTATTCCATTGCATTCCATTAGAAATGTAATTGATTGAAATTTAAAATTATCAATGTTTCTATCTTTATCTGGAATATTTACCTCTTCAAAGGTGATTGGATCCTATTTTGAGGTATCCTTATTATTGATGTTATCTTCAATGCCGATATTATCATAATGTTCATTTTCTTCTTGAGAAGGTTGAACTTCTTTGGCATCACAAACTACATCTTGCCTTTTAAATTTTCTTGGTTTCAAATCTCTTGAACCAAGTGGTCTACCACGTTTTTTACGTATCATAGATTCATTAGCAAGAGTTCTTTCGCTAATCTCCGCAGGAATTTCTATTCGAGAAGGAGTATTCATAGCTGGAATATGTGACTTTGTCACTTTCTTTAGGTCTGTGAAAGCATCAGGCAATTGGTTTGCAACACTTTGTAAATGAATGATCTTTTGAATTTCTTGTTCACAAGCATTTGTGCGAGAATCAAGAAAAGATAAATCTGTTGAATTCCAAGTAATATCTTTCGTACGTGGGTCCATTTCTTTATTATCTCCCCCTAAGGCTGGGAATACTGTTTCATCAAAATGACAGTCATCGAACCGTGCGGTGAATAAGTCACCAGTCATAGGTTCTAGATAATTAATAATTGAGGGAGATTTAAAACCAACATAAATTCCCAGCCTTCTTTGAGGACCCATTTTAGTACGATAAGGTGGAGCAATCGGTACATACACAGAACAACCAAATATTTTTATGTGTGATATATTTGGTTCTTTACCAGATATTAATTGCAATGGGGAAAATTTATGATATGCAGTTGGCCTAAGCCTAATTAAATTTGCAGCATGCATTATAGCATATCCCCATGCAGATGATGGTAATCTGGATTTCATCAATAATGGTCTAGCAATTAATTGTAATCGCTTAATTAAGGATTCAGCAAGACCATTTTGTGTATGCACATGTGGAACTGGATGTTCCACATCAATCCCAATTGACATGCAATAGTCATTAAAAGATTGGGATGTAAATCCCCTTGCATTATCAAGTCGGATTTTCTTTATTGAAAAATCCGGAAATTGTGATCTCAAATGAATAATTTGAGCAAGAAGATTTGCAAATGCAAAATTTCTAGTCGATAAAAGACTGACGTGTGACCAACGTGTTGATGCATCAATGAGCACCATAAAGTATCGAAAGGGTCCACACGGAGGGGCAATTGGTCCACAAATATCTCCTTGAATTCTTTCTAAAAATGCAGGAGATTCAACTCCAATTTTGTATAAAGATGGCCTGATAATTAATTTGCCAAGAGAACAGACAGTGCATGAGAAATCACTTGATTGTGGAATTTTGACATTATTTAATGAATGTCCAAGTGAATTTTGAATAATTTTGTGCATCATAGTGCTGCCTGGATGACCTAAACGGTCATGCCACAAGATAAAGGAACTGTGGTCATTAATTTTACATACCACATTTATCTCAATTGGACTGATATATGTATAATATAGTCTGGAGGAATATGCTGGCATTTTTTCTGAAATGTATTTATTGCCAGATCTATTTGTCGTTAGACATAAATATTCCTTTTAATTTTCAGACATGGTTTCAATGTGAAAACCATTTAGACGCATATCTTTGAAACTCAAAAGATTTCTCCGTGATTTACTAGAGTATAAAGCGTCTTTAATTATTAATTTTGTCCCTTTTGGGAGAATTACACAGGCTATTCCAGAACCTTCAATGAGTTTAGCAACACCTGAGATTGTATTGACATTAGCATCAACTAATGTCATATGAGAAAAATAATCTCTATGTCTCAAAATGGTGTGCGTTGTGGCACTGTCTATTAAACATTGTTCAAAGCCATTTGGAGAAATTTCAGTTAACTCCATATCTTTAAAAAGATAAAAATGAACAAATATTAGTTCAATATTGCAATATAAACAAGAATTTATTCATTAAAATGTACATAACTTTTACAACCAAAACAAGCACACCAAATAAAAATTACAATACAACAAACTTTTATTGTAGAATATATTACATAACAGAATAATTTCATTTTAATTATTATTATTTTTCACCCATGACGATGTCAGTGTTCATCTCATTATTATCCATATAGAAATCAGACATATTAAATGTGGGCATTGGTGGAACGTTTTCGTTGACGTAATTAGTTTCCACATTCTTTCCTTTTAGAGATGATTTATATAAGTCAACCAAATGTGTAGGTGTGCGACACTTATTTGCCCAATGTCCCGACGTGCCACATTTAAAACAAGTGACTTTAGCCTTTTCTGAAGATTTCGTCGGGCCTCTTGTTTGATGGGGATTTTGCTTTCCCTTGCCTTTGTAAGAGCTACTACTCTGCTTGTTTCCCCGGCTAGGTCCATTATAACGACCAATACCACGACCACGTTTGAAATGTCCACGAACACCACTATGGGTTGCATTTGATTCATGTTTTGAACCATGATTTTGTGGACCAAAACTAAAAGGGCTACAACCCGTGGGTCTCATATTGTGGTTTCTCATCAAAATGTCATTATTCGTCTCAGCAAGTAGTAATACTGATATTAAATCAGAATACTTTTGAAAGTGCTTTTGTATATATTGCTCTTGTAAAAGCATATTTGAAAGATGCATAGTGGATAGAGTTTTTTCCAATATTTCGGCATCAGTGACTTTTTGTCCGCATAACTTCAATTTTGATGTTATTTGGAACAAGGCAGAATTGTAGTCACTTATAGATTTGTAATCCTGGAATCGTAAATTGATCCAGTCATATTGAGCTTTTGGTAAAAGGACCTTTTGTTGATGGCCATACCTTTCTTGGAGATTATCCCATAATTCTTTAGGGTCATCTACCAATAAATACTCAGACTTCAAACTTTCGTGAAGATGGTGACGAAGAAAGATAATGGCTTTTGCCTTATTTTGGGGAGTAGCTGAATTATTTTCAGCAATTGTGTTTTCGAGGGCATTTGCTTTTAAATGTGCCAAAACGTCAACTTTCCATTCCAAGTACTTTTGACCAGATAAATCAAGGACGTCGAACTCTCTTTTGCTAATATTAGCCATGGATGAACTACACCATAATTAAATCAAAATTAATTAGTTAATGGTTTGTATAGATCATACGATTAGATATACATAATGTTTATGTAATAAATACTATATTAATAACTACTACGTACGATAACAATAATTATATACATCACTTTTATTACGTAGTTCGTATGAGTAGATGTAGTAATCTATACTCAGTATTAAATCTCTTTCATTAATAACAACTAATATAGGTATGTACGTATATCAGTATATATCTGTACTGAAGTAGTGAAAAATGTCACATGTATTTCTTATTATAATGATCCAGCACATATTAATTACTTTGTAAAATTCCTGGACAGTTAAACAAAAAAATTTTAATTGCTGCTAATGATTTAGTGATAATATTTACTCCGTATGAAATACTACCGATTTAGTTATAAATAGTACCAAATACTACATATTAGATAATGTTTACAAACATTATTGTTTATCAAATGTTTGCTTAAGAGCCCCACAGAAATTAAACATTATTCTCTTTTAATTAATATTTAATATTATAATAATAATAAAATAAACTCACTAACTAAGTACGTAGTGGCATGAGTGAGGTATGTATGGTTTTTTTTATGTATGGACATATACACCGTATGTAGTAAATTTATATTATTATTGATTTGAATTGATGTGTCAGAATTATCTTGATAGTATTATTGAAGATAAAAAAAATACATTGTCAAAAACAAAATATGACCACTGCACAATAAGGCATGCATTAAGACAAAAAAAACAAGTGATAATGTCTAGGAGAGATCATTCATCTGCCCGTGAGTGCCCGTGAGTGTGACCTGTCTTTACTTCATACATCAATTATATATGAAGTAGCTGGTATGCAGTTTAAATATATGTCCTTTCTCTTCTTCTATGTTACTATAGTTCTTTAGTTTATTGATAGAGATAATATCCGCATGAAGATAACTATGTTCGGTCTCCAATTCACTTTATTTGGAAGAAAAATAAGAACGAGTGAGATATATTGTCTACAATATGGAGTAGTTCATTTCAAGAGCAGATTTGGTTCCTATAAAGGTTTGTTTTTCTTCTTTGATTTTTTTTTTACTTAAAATATAGCTATAATTTTCTGATATGGAGGATCCCAATGGTTGGGCAACCATAGAGCATACTTCTTATAGTTTTGAATATATCTATACATGTTTATACTTCTCAACCTCTGATTTTTTTTCTAGATGAATTGATAAATTTGTGGAAATATATACCTGTTGGGAAGATGATGATTTCAGGGATTTGAAGCAAATTCGTGCTGATAACGTGTTATGAAATGGAAGGAAATAAGTAGAAGATCAGGGAGAGAAAATATAGTATGAAGACTTATGTTATTGAGAGTATTAGAGAGTGTGATAATAGTGTAATCAAAGTGTATTTACAATGAAGCAAAGAGCCTCTATTTATAGGCTAAACAAGTGATTAGCTCAAGATGAGGGATTAATATTAGCCACATAATCATTATCTAGAAATTATAATTGTGATTTCTAGATTATCTTGATAATGATAATAATAACTTATTAATCATGAATAGTTAGGAGATGACTAATTCATTATATTTCAACAGTATGTTCCTATTAATTCTTCAAATTCATTGAGATACGCAATGTCTATCTTTGTCAAGTTGGAGTATGATACCAAAGTCGGATGATGCCAGAGAAAAATGGCTTAGATTGTTTACGTTTCTTTGTCTTTAAGCAGTAAAGAGTCCATCTAATTTTCGACGTGATTTTCATCTTAGGTCTTCCCAAAACAATCTCTTTTGTTTCAGTACAAGGGTAAGATTGTATATTTTTGACCTCTCCTACCCCACCGTAAGTGAGAGCCTTTGCGGCATTGGGATAATACTGTTATTGTTCTGTTTGTTTTCGGTTTGTCTCGCTCACTAAGATTGTCCATTACTAAATTTGATGGCGTATGGGTACTTGTAAATCGGACTGATCGCCTATTTGTTAAGAGGTAATTGTTTTGAAATATACTAATAAAAAAACAATCAAACCTTGGAGAATGAGCATTTGTTTAATGAATGTACAATTGAACCTATGAAAACTTCAATTCCTCCGATCATCCGAGGTTCATATATATCAAAATATGTACAAAAATGAATTTCTGAAGAGGCAATTTTGTAGGCATTTCTTTGAAAATAAATTGTCGTGTTAAAAAGCAGCATGGAAACACATACAGACTCATGATTCGGTAATTTCCCAACAATAACATTCATACGATAAAAGAAGTGGATAGAATCCAAAAATCTAGATTAAGCTGACCTTTTAAGGCATGCTAAGTCAAATTAAATCATCTTTACATTTAACCATTCAAATGGTTAAATTAGTTTATCCTTTGTTCACACCACATGACTACAACAATAAAAAAGGATAATAATTTTATATATGCAATATTGTTCTCGATCATAAAAAGTAATAAATTTTGATGTATTTTTTTCCACAAAACGGAAGTATAAATAATAAAATAATAAAACTACAAAGGAAAAGGGGGTATTTTCTGTGAGTCCCGCATGCCTGAGTTCTCTTCCGTGCTTAGCATTCCCTTTCTCCTCCATACATTTTTCTAGCAACGGGTGAATATGGGTGACGAATCCCCACCCAAGGGTGCAGTATCACACACCCACTTAGCATCCTTCTATACATATTATGGGATGGGTTGCACACTTAAAATTAGGTTTTTCAGCCCAGACATTGCGGTCAGCCTAGCTCATATATTGAGCTCAGCCTTACGCAAATACTTCTTTCCATCCGACTATAATTTGACTTTTGCTTTTGAGGCAATACTTTAGGAGTGATTTTTTTTGGAATTTTATCGGTCCAAACCCTGAAAGTTGAGTTTACTATCACTTCTGGACCTGAAAGAATAGTTCTATCAATAAGGGACCTCTAAGATTACTATATATCAATAGAAGGCTTAAAAACTCACGACCGTTAACTTACCCCTAACGGAAGTTTGATACGCTAACTTATTCAAGGATTTCAAGCTACAGAGTCTTCTCCATACATAAATCCATATATAAACAAACACAATTACGTATGAAAACTTACATGCCCAAACAAAAATTAGGTTGAATAAACACTAAGCTCCAAAATTCACTTAGCATGAAACAAAAGGAAGTTTTTAAGAAATCATACTCAATAATTTCATGAAGTTCTCTCGCTCGCTTTGTGTGATTCCACAAAATTAAAGTCTAAAAGAATATTATGAAATTAACACATGACGTGCACTTGTCGTGAGGTGCACTCAAAATAATTAATCAATACAACACTAATACGTAGTATAGTGAAGTAAGGTTCGTATCCACAGGGAAAGGAATACTTTTCTTTTATATAAATAGTAACAAGGGGGGTTTTAAGTTTGATTTGATTGAATTTAATTAACACTAAGATAAACGACTTATATGAGTTTAATTTATAGAGATGAGGACTTGGTTTTGCTTTTATCCACTTAATGAAATGTTCGTCGATCCCGGTTATATCTTTAACTATCTCCCTCTCGAATACTCAATCGAGGAGTATATCCAGTTCATCGAGGGTAGTTATTAATAACGAGACGCGTTCATTAATAAAACTTACTACCGAGTTAATATAGAATAAGCGTCGTATATTAGCCCGATAGTAGCAATAAACTTAAGATGAAAACGATTGAGATTGATAACCTCAACACAAGCGGTTTATTGGTTTAATCAATATAATTAATTCCACTTAGATTATTAACCATGAGACGCATGCATTAATAATCCAAGTTTTACTACCGTTGAAAGAACCGAATTAATAACAAGCGTATAAATCGATTGATTCTAGTAATAATTAATATATGAAACAAAACTAGTTGATCCTTTAAGTAATGCTCAAAATATTAATATGGAATATGAATAGGAAATAATTAATATTCAAGGAAGAAGATTAAAGAAAATAACTCACAACTTACAAATTCATTAAGCTTCAAACTAGCAAAACCAAGATGGAAGAGTTTAGCTCCTCATTTGGAGACTAAACATGAAGAAAATATAAAGAAAGAGCTTGTCTAAACTGAGCTAAGAAGTATATGTTAATTGGTGATTTTTGTGGGAAAGAAAGGGGGGTATTTATAGGCTTTTTAGGCTTGCAGGGTCGTGTACCCGATCGGGCTGTAAGGGCACTCGATCGGGTACTTGGTTGCTTCGCGGAAGTATAAAAACTGGGTTATTCCCGATCGGGTATGTCGGCCACCCGATCGGGTATGAACACTCGATCGTGCCAAAATCTCCCCTGCATGTTGCCTTGTCTCGGATCCGATCCGATTTGATTTTTCAACAAGGTACCCGATCGGGTATAGGTCATACCCGACCGGGTACAACACCAAAAAATCAATCTTCAATTCATCTTGAGATTTTTGCACTTTCCTTCCATTTGTGATGTTCACCAATGGTTCCTAGAGTGATCTTGGACCTGTTTGAGCTCAGTATAAACTTAATCTAAACAAATAGCAAACATTTTTACAAATTAAACTATTACACCAAAAGTGTGTAATTTCCAAGGTAATAATCAATCTAAACTAATAAAAAAACATAAACGTAAGCATGGAAATTACATGAATGTCAACTCCCCCACACTTAGTTTCTTTACTCGACCTCGAGTAAAACCAAATGTTTATACAATGTTCATCAAAAGATCATAAGTTCAAAGATAGTAAGCAATAAGAAACTAAGACCACCAAGTATTGTAAATGAGTTTACAGAACAACATTTCCTTGGGTTTAAGGGTCTTCTATGCTCCTTACTTCTTCTTTTCCTCTTCTCCTTTTCTTCTTCTTCTTTTCTTCAATAGATGATGTCATGCAAAAACAAATTTCTCTCATATCTCTCATTTTGCCTAGGAGCCTTTTCAGGTTTTCATCCTAGCATCTCTTTTCTTTTCCTTTTCTCACCACTCACTCATTATTTTTGTAAGCCCTTCTTGCTTAGATTGCCTTTTTTTGGGGTTTTCAACCTAACTAGCATTTCATATCTTTTTTTTTTTGTTTTTTTTGTGTGTACAACTAGTACAAGAAAGTAATGCATAGCGTAAGGTAATAAGGAAAAAAACAAAGGGAGTAAACATACCAAGAGATGAATTTCCCTCCCCCACACTTGAAGCATGGCACTATCCCTAGTGCCCACCTTCTCCGCCATAATAGCCACCTCCAAAGCCGCTCCCATGTACATCATCCCCGTCTCCCATAGTAGTGTCCCCACCGTTGTATCCTCCAGCGCCGGACCTAGAGCCACCAAAATTTCCCCAATCGGAGGGCTTATACCAAGAAGGTGCCGGTGGTGGTGAAGTCATAGATGAGAAATCTCTGTGATGGGCTATATATGGGTACATGGGACCATAATCCCTACGATAGTCCTCTTCATAGCGGTGGAGGTCGGCTTGTCGTAGCTCCTCCATTCTTTGGAAACCCGCCCGTTGCTCCTCTCGGACTTGTGCAAGTGTTTCACCCATGTTCGTGTAGTTGAGGTTCATGGTGTTGAACCCGGCAAGTAGTGCTTGTTGGCCCTCCAATAGTTGTTGGAAAAAGTCTTGCGGTGGTGGGTTTTGAGGGGGGTCGGGAATGTGGTGTTGGGCATGTTCATGTTCCTCTTGGTGCTCGGCTTGGTCGGGTTGGTCCGGTTGGGCTTGAAGGTGTGGTGGAATGGCATTAGGAAGCAAATAGTGGGTGATTTCAAAGCTTGCCAGTTTATACCTAAGTTTAGGTAGTTCGTCGCAAGGGAGGGGAAAGTATTTGATGGGTTCGGGGTACTTCATGTGCCATTTGTAATGTTGGCTTCCATTGTGGTCCTTGTTTCCCAAAGAGATTAATCCCGCATTGGATAACCAACCAATGTGCATCAATGTATCGGCGTGAATTGGAGCATTGTCCGTATAGCCGAATTTGGACACCAAGTGCATTATTACCCCCCAACCATAATGTTCCCTGTTTTCTTACAAGCTTCCTCCAAATGATCCCACATTAGATTACAAAGGTTATATGCCGTAGGTCTCTGAAAAAGGGCTAGAGTGAGTACGGCCACGTCCCCCATCCGAGTATGGTGATTGTTGGGGCGGCCGAACAAAGAATTACACAAAAACTTTAGGAAAATCCGGAGAAGGGGATGTTGAACGTGACTAATGGAGAGTTTAGATGCGTTAACTATCACTTCTCCGGTCATTTTTGACCATAGAGTATGAGCATCAAGTGTGCTTTCCGGTATCCCCCTATCATGGGCCACGGGAATTCCAAAGTGTGCGGCAAACTCACGTCTCGTTATTGAGTATTCGGTGTTGTGCACACGAAACGTGAGTTCATCGGAATTGAAATCCGCCGGGTCCTCTTGTAGAACAAATTTCATGGAGCTCATGACCTCATATATGATTTTGTCAACACAATTGTATCGCATATTGAAAATCAAATTCATTTGCAATACATCAAATAATTCTCTCATGCCATCCTCTAAGCCTAGTTTCTCAAGGGCATCATGACAAAGAAATCTAGAAGGAACTACTTGCCTTTTAAT